GGGGGGGGGGGGGGGGGGGTGTGGGAGCAATCGGATGTATTCAACCCAACTCACTTCGGAGAGCAATCCAATGACCAAAGAGACGGCTTGCCGGACCAGAGCCCCCCTTCCGAGCCTCGAAAGTGGAGGTGGCTGTGCAGCGGAGCGGAGTGGCACGGCATGAGAAAGTGCACCGCCACTTCTGGGGGAGCGCCACCATCGCCACCCCCTTTCCCCAGCCGCGGGCCCCCTCCTGCCTCCCCACCGTCGCCCGCCGCCGCCGCCGCCGCCGCCGCCGCCGCCGCTATCTTTGATGCCACCACGGCAGGGACCCTCTCCGCCACGGCGTCCACCGCCGCCAGCGCGCCTCCCTGGTGCCACACCGAGAGGTACACCGCCGCGGGGACGTGCAGGACAAACAGGGCCACCGCGATCGCGGTCCCAAGCCGCCGCCGCCGCCGTTGTGGTGGCGGCCCTTGCCGGTTGCTCGCAGCAGGAGCCCCCGCCGCCGTCGCGGGGGTGGCCAGGAAGGCCGAGACCGCTTGCCCCGCGTAGGCGTGCGCGATCGGGAGCACCGGGAGGAGGAAGCGGAACTCCTTGTGGGGGCTGGAGCTGTGGTACGCTGTTCGTGAACACATGAGTTCCGAATAAAAAAAAGCAAGGAGACGATAGGTGCACACGCACGAGAATCGCAGGTGTTAGTAGTAGCGTGCTCGCTACTGTATGGGTGCGCACCCAAGACGGAAAAGCAGGAGGGGTGCAGTTGGTGCAAGGCAATTTCCGCTCAAGTCAGATTCCGGTTGCTGGCAACATCTGGCGCTTTGCTCTCAAGAGAGTGCCTCGTTACCGTGGATGGGCGAAAGCTCTCCAACCCTGATGGGCAGCAATCGTTCGAAAACTTGGCCAGGACTTTTGCCTATACACCCTCTGAGGCAACAAAAACAGACAGAGCATGCTCCGATTTTTCGAAATATGAGAGCATGGAACTTCTGCATTGATGGCGAGTATGGCGGTGCACGTCCTGCTCCTTCTCAGACCCTCCACTATATGGTAATCCACAACACTCAAAAGTAGGGTTCGGCAGTCCACTTTCGGAGACAGCACGTTTGGTTTCGTGCGTAGTGGTGATGGTCAGTTGTCGGCTTCCGCCACTTTTGAATACACACAAAGTAGATGTGGAACTGTGACCAACGCCTTTCCGTTCGCCAGCCGGTTAGCGCGTTTGATGGGAATATATCAAGCTCAAGCCCGAAACACGGCAGCAATGGTCGACATCGGGTAGAGGGTTGCAGCGAGCCTCTCTCGTACACACTTGCGGAGACTTAACAGGAAGATGATGTCAAGGCAACTCTCGTGTGGCCTATATTTCAGCGGAACTTGTTTGCAAACTCTGGCCGTCTTGACACATCAACGGTACATACTTGGGACTTCACATCATCGCACACAGCAGCAGACTCACCCAAAAACCAGAGAGCAAGCCAACCAAGCCGGCGGCGGTCACCACT